ACATGCTGCTTTAATAGAAATTCTTCTTATTGTAGTGATTTGATAGCAATGCTTATGGCAGATCTAAAAATAACTGGATTGTAATCTCAGAGGTGTTCATTAAACTCCCACTTTTTAAATTGTGACAGGTGTAGTTCTATCATCGGCCAAAGTGACCCTTGATTTTAAGGAGGGGGCAAAATTGGTCAGTGTTGTTCAGTCATCCTGGTACTTAGGCTTACCTGCCCAAACACGCAACAAGGGAAGAGCAGTAGGATTCCCCTAACAAAGGGCTTGGGAACAATAATACTCAAAATAGATTGGGAACACAAACATGAGAATTCTTCTTGATGTCATTGTTCCGTATTGCACTGTAAGGCCCTTCTTTGAGGAGGGTAAAATGAACCTTTGTAGAAAACTGAAGGAAATCTTTCAGCACTTGGGTGTTTCAGTTTAGGTTTAAACATGTTTCCTTTATTGCTTAGGTATATTTGCAGGTACCTCTTGCGTAGTTACGATATTTGCCTAGCCAGTGTTAAACACTGTTTTAATTTGTTGGGTGTATGCTTAGTGAAATTGAAAGCACATATGATGCCACTGGAGAAAAATATCAACTTTTTCTCTGATGTGATGTGAGGTTTTTTCAGACTACCTTTTTGATTGGGGAGGATGTGGGATTTGGTTTCTGTGTGTATGATACTTTTTATGATATATGAACAAGTTCATTGGAAAGTGGATTTGAGTACACTGTATACTACTTGTAACTTAAGCTTGGAAACTGAGAAGCTTGCATGATTTTGTCTTTCATTATTGACCTGTTTTGACATCTCAAAGTATGCTTCATATTTTCTTTGTTTCTTCCTGTTTGGAAATGTTGAAGGTAAAATATATCTTTGCTATAGTGCTATCAAGAATTGAATGCTTACTTCATTTAAAAACCCTTCTGGAAAAAAACTTGAATTGTGGAGGGTGATGGCTGGGGGAGAATGGCCTTAACTCATATGCATCCCAAATTATTTCTTGTACTCTGCATAGTGTATGCCTTCATTAAAAATAATTGGAAGTGTGATAGAACTTAAGGATTTTAGGTCAAAGTTTTATGTAAAAGACCCCTTGTTTCCCACTTTGCTACTGTATATGGAAATAACAGCTATCTGTTACCAACAGTAATAATACAGTTTCTTTTATCAAAGAAGTTGTCTAGACTTTCTTGGTAAAGAGCTGCAGTAATGCTGTTTACAATAAATGCGGTCTCAAAAAAAAAAAAACCCCACAAAAATGCCTATTACAAGATGAAGGGTTTTGCAGGATGACTTTTCAGAAGTGTGGAACAACACAATCTTGAGCTGTGTGTGGGAAGAGTGACAAACGTGCAGCTGTTGAGTCTGCTGTTCTGTAAAATGCAATATAGCAGGCTTACTTCTGAATTTTCCCTGCTTAAATAATGGCCATGGATGCTATCTTGGCCATACCTACTACGCTACTGTACATACCTTTCAAGAAATGGTATGTTTGTACTACAGTAAAGGTAATGTAAGCATTTATTAGATGTTAGACTACAAAAATTGTTGCAAGCACATGAAAATGGTAAGTTCAATAGCGGTATCTGCAGCATTGCAAATGGATCGCCTTTCCATAATGAAATCCTGATCTATTAAGTTAATAAATCTGTATAGCCGTTTTTTGCAATAAAAGGTGGTACCATACATATTAAAGCAAACATCTGATCCTGTTGGTCTGATCCTTGGAGGTGCATGATGTTGGTTTATATTCATAGGCAGTATATTCTTTTCAATTTATAGCAAGATAAACTTCCCCCTGAAACAAGTGTTTTGGACCGATAGTTAGTTGAAATCAGCTCAATTCTGGAACTGTTTCCTTGGTGCTAATGGACGAAAAGCATATAAACCCAGAGGGGTGGATGTTTAAGGCTTTTCTACCCAGTGTTGAGCATTTGTTTATGGAGGCAGTCAACATAATGAAACATTAGCCTTTACTGCTGGGAAGTGGTGTTACAAGCTTTCCCTCTTCCCTTCTAAACTTCAATGCTAGTTTAAGTAAGCGTTAAGAACTTCCCCTAAATTAATATGCCCTGTATGAATGTTGCAGAGTTGCATATATTTAGCAAGTCACTAAATGTTGCCACAAACTATTGTAGGATATCTCCTTTATCACAGCTTTGAGGAAGGGGGAAGCCACAGCTTCTCATGTTCTTGTTTTGAATTAGCTATTCAAAAGGAAATCAGCTGCTGACTTCTACATGCAATAATTCATACAAACTGTAATTAGGTAGTGGAAATATTTCATCATGTTAAAGGCACGAACACCTTTAAAAACAATCGTCTTTAAATGTATCAACTTTCTCTCTAAGGAGAAAGAGGTGTTTTTCTAGATTCTCTTGGTTTGTACATGGTATGTATGAAATCCTGGATGTACAAGAGCTACTTTTAACCCCCCGCCAGCAGCAAAGAATTGTGCCAGGAAGAATACTCAGCACTCTTCTAGACCATACTGCATCTTTGGAATTGAAAATAATCAGCAGTGCAACTGGAATATAGTTTATCCCATTTCTTAAACTTTCTCTTTAAACCCTTCCCACAATAGCACTGCTTAGTTTCAACACCAAAGGAAGAACTAGAGGGTAATAAGGATTTCTGCTAGATACTACTATTCACTTTCTGGTTTCATAGAAGCTCAGTTGCCTGTAGCAATTCTTATCAGAAGGGGCTACCTAGAGCTAGAAGAAGAAATGCATTTAGACCTAGATTTCCCCATCTGTAGCAATATTTGTATTTCAGATTAAGAGTGCTGCCATTGCATTTCAGTCAACATTTAAATTTCTGGTAATTAAAATCTTGGTGATAGCCTTGACACCTGGCTTATGATGGTGATGCATAGAGGAACTGAAAGCATGTCCATCACACACTGTATGACAACTATTCAGGGGAAGGAGGAGCAAGGGAAGATGAGTGGAGCATATACTGTGCTAATCAGTTTTAGCATCCAGAAAAAAAAACCCCTCACAGGTAGAGGACAGTACAGTTTGGTCTTATCAAGTCTGCCAGAAAGATAAAGGTAACTCTCCATATATAGATGATGCAAAGCATCTCCCAGCAAGTCTGCCACCCTCTGGGGATGGCAGCCTTTATTAGCATCACTACAAGAAGCTAACAACTCTCTCCAATGTAGGAATTCAAGCATCCTCCCCTTTACAGTATCTCTAAGCCTAGGTTCTACCCTGCAAAACATTCACTTCATAGTTACTCATTAACCTGACCTTTTATTGTATATAATTAATTATTTTAAATCTTCCAGCAGGCTGACTTGTGTTCAGTCCAGTTATTGCTCTATTATATCAACAGTCTAAAATCAGTACACAGTAACAGTACAGATTTTTTAAGGGGCCTGAGCCTTTTTCAAGTTCAGATTAACCCAGAGTAAAGCATTAGTCAGTAAATAATAACAAGTGGGTTAAGAAGGGGTGAGGAGGAAAGCAGAGCAAGTTAGGTTTTGTATTATGTTTTTAATCAGTACAACAGAATCCTCAGAGAGGAAGATACAAATTAGTAAAACTTCCACACATCATTTTTAAAACTCAAATGTATTTTTTTCAGTGGGCAGTTAAAAGTAACCTTTCCCTCCAAAGTCCGTGCTTCCTCCCCGTTGGATCACTAAAACGTAGTTTGTGGCTAATATCAAATTGCATTGAATTTGAGCTTGTGAACAAGAAACCACATTGCATTCTACCAGGTACCTCAGCTCTCTCAATTATCAGTTCTTCAAACCATCAAACTTGTAGGAAAAGGACTTGGTAACTGTAGTTCTCTTTTTGGGTTAGCATTAACAATTTAGCCTCACGTTCTTTCCTCACTGAAAGATACGGTACCACTAAGGCTTTCTAAATCAAATTAATTAACAAGGAATCAAGAGTTTCAATTAAGAGAACCATTAGCACTGGTCTTCACCAGAACTTTGCATCTATATAACTCAAACGCTACAGAAAAAGAGATCTTATCTCAAAAAAAAAAAAAAAATTAACATTTCCCTTTAAATATCCAGGGTTTAAAATAAGAGTTTGGAATCCTTGCTTCATGATTGCATGTCAAACTTTCAGTTGTTGCTTTTTAGCACATGACAGCCTTCAAAAGATAATTATCAGCTGGTACACAGGGCAGAACTACCTTTATTACAAAAACACCTTCAGCAGAGTTTACACTTGAAAAACTTTTCACAGGGTTTAGAAGCAGTAATTTTACTACTACAGCCCACAAAACTGAGTAATCCAAGTATTCTCAGATTAAATCGACATCCTTGAGATAAGCACATAGTAGTACCATCCCAACTCTCTGAATGCAGGCATTGTGGAACTAACTCATCCTCAGACACACATCTGGAAATGTCAGAGCCATCTGCCCAGTATTGTAACTGACCGCATACTTTATTGCTCAAAAGAGAAGTGATATCCATCAATTCTTTCCTCACTGACTTCCATTTTCCTTCTCACCAGCTTCTTGTCCTATTGCTGGCTTAGGGTGGAAGCAGAAGTATTGGATCTTCTCTACACCATCTATCCCCAAATTTAAGAACAAATCAGAATATACTGTCCAAATAGAACTAACTTCTAACGCTCATAAAAAAGATCTTCTTTCCCATACAGGTACAAGAACACTAAAAGAAGTCCACATTAATTTAAATTTAATACAAAAAAACAATTATAATTTACAAATGTTAAAATTCACTTAGTCTGTCCTGGCTAGTTCATACTCTGGAATTTCATTTTGAAATTGTTCAAAGGCTTGAATGAAAAACTAAGCATCCTTATTATGTTAAGCATCTTTTCCAGCAGAAAGCCACCTGTTCACCATTTTGTTCTGAAAGTATTTTTACAGGACTCCTAGTCAGGTAGCACACACAAACAAGTTAGCAAGAGCTGGCTGTACAGTATTTTATACGGATACCATTAAAGTGCATCAAAGAATGCCATCCAGTGCAAGTTCGAACTCTCTTCCTGAAATCACTATTTAGCAAGTGAGGCGAGGCTCCCTACAGTCATCATCATATTGTAACTGAAGTCGGGAAAATGGCCGTGGCGGAGCTACTCTATTCTTTGAGATTATTATAATGCAGGTGAAAGTGGTCAGTATCATAAAAGCCCCAATAACTATCCCAATAGCCTCTGGAAGGTTTATGCACCACTGGTCAGCGAGCAAGCACTTGGTGTTACTGAAAGTGCCATTGTGCGGCTGTGGTTTCAGTCCCAGGATGTGGCACATCATGGGGTAAATATCAACGTTGTTCATCGTGCTCTGCTTGTAACCCCGATGAAAAGCAGGCCCACGAGCAGCCAGGAACGGATGCATGCTTGGGAGAGCGTTGTCATAGCCATGGTCGCCTACTAGAGAAATGCAAAGTTAAGAGTTAACATCACAGTTTCTGTTTGCCTATCGAATATTCCCCTCCCTATCTCTCTCAGTTGTTGGATCAAACACTGAAGGAACCCAGAGTTCCCTCCCTCCCTCTTCCCCAATCCCCAGAAGTCTCTTCCCATACTGGACTTCAGCCATGGTCCTTCTCCCCTCCCCCCATTATCTCTTTTCCTTTTGGTTATCAACATTCCCAGTCTTCCCCTTCCCACTCCTCATGCCAAAGTTGAAAAGGATGTTGCCACTCCACAAGTCAGTAGTTGGAATGCAAATTTGTACTTGTCAGATTTTGGAAAGAACATCTCCCCCTTGTAAAGCAGACAGTTTAATTACTTCTTAAAAGCCAAGCACTTTTCCCTTGATAGTGTTCAGTTCCAGCATATTAAGTACCCTCAAATCATGCTTCTCAGATTAGGTACTTCAGGAAAAGGGATACCCAAATAGTCAAAACCAAAAAACAGTCAAAGGATGACGATGCCTGTGACATGCAAACAACAAAACGTTTGTGGCTACAAGGTCACCAGTACCTGAACATTTGGTAGGTTTTTAAGAAATACTCACTCCGATTTTTGGTGGAATATACACAGCTAAAAACCAGCCATAGTCAAATTTTTAGTAACATGTCTGAAAAATCTGTCCAAGATGCCAAAAATTTCTCATAGCACACACAGCACAGTATTTGAGTGAGTGCATTGAAGTTTTGAGTTAATTTCTTAATAACAGTTTAAAAAGTCTCCCCGAGAACTGTCTCCTGCTGCTTCATTGAAGTTTCTGATGTGAAATGTCAAGATTCCTATTGATTAGATCAGACTCACCACTTCAGTATACTTGCAATATTCCTTTTTAATGTCTTCCACCGTTATGTTTGTTACCATAAAGATACTACTGCACCACATCTTGCTCGTTTGTTTTAATGCAGTCCTATGTTTCTTGATTACGTTATTTTCCCTTCTACTACTTGCTTGTTTTGAACAGAGCTGTTCCAAGTCCCCTCTTCAGTCACGTCTGAAGTAGGAGGGCAGGTGTGTGCCAACATTGCTAGATAGAGTGTAGGTACTGATACACTTGCCAATCATTACGCTGCCACTTTGTCCATGAAGACAAGTACAATAAACACTTAAATAGCCTTTTAGGTTAAAACCTCCACTGCCTGCTTCTGGGAAGCCTTGGCTAGCAAAATTGTTTTGAAAAGTGATTCGCTTCAACTGATACAATGCTGTTACTTATAAATATACACTTATTAACTATTTTTAGGTACATGAAATTGAATCTAACCATAAACAAGAAAGGGACCTCTACTAGAGAACATGTGTGCTAAGTGTTGGCAATTTGAAAATGATTGTAGCAAATCCATGGGGAAATTAAAATACAAACACATCTTACATTAAAAGGAGTACTTTTGTACAAATAATGAGAAAATTTGAACTTAAATGTAAGAACAGCCAAACTGGGTGAAATGGGGAGTTTACACCACCCAGCATCCTGTCTCTGACAGTAGTCGTAACAGGGAGTCTGGAAAGTATCCAACAGGGTTAGCCCTGACATAGCAACCAGCCTCGAGCTGTTGGCTGCTCAGAAACTTCCTTGAAGTTGGTACCTTTGTATTTAATTTCTATTAATGGATTTTTCTTCCAATAATTTGTCCAATCACTTTCTGAACACACATAGATACATATGTATATACACAGGCAGCCTTCGTCTGCAACCAGAATTATGGGTTGAATTCTCTTACTATGATGATAATGAAATCTATCTGGGATTTCTTCTTTGAGAGACACTTTCATGTGACAGTTTCATTTTTTCAGTGTTATACACGCCTCTTTTGTCTGCCAAAAAAACCCTGCATGTGAAACACCTGAAAATATATATACATATATACATATATGTATGTAATTTGACATTCCTAGCATCTAGCAGGAAGAAAGTGCATAGCTTAGCAATGCACTGGGTGAAGTTTTTTGTTTTTGAAGTTTGTTTTTTGTCTTTAAAACATGCTATTTGATGCCCCTAACAGGATGAACTCTGGCTTCTTTGACCATTATTGTTATGTTCCTGTTATTTTTAGTATTTCCTCCCATTTATTTTTGTCTCCTAGTATACATACTGCAACTTTAAATGTTTTGTCTTGCATTCTTCCATTTATGCTCCCCTATATATATATATATTTTATATACAAAAAATAGTTAAACCACACTCTAGTGGAAGCTTGAGACAGACTGCTAACTTGCCTGAGTTAACTCTTAAAAGTGTACCTCGGGCTATTAAGTTGAACATGACAAAGCGTTTTAGCCAATGGAATATCCCCCATCTCTTCCTCATCTGTTAAAACACTCCAGGCTCAGGCTTAAAATGTTCTAGAAAGTGCTGAGATGTTCCTAAAGATGCACAGTGCCAGGACTCCACTCACTAAACTAGGACCATCCTACACATGGCTGCAATAAAAACAAGACAGTTTACCAATGTAAGCCACCAAGAGCACAAATAAGGAAAACACACTTACATTTTGAAAGTGACTCGTTTTGTACAATTGTCCAGCCTTCGTCTGCAACCAGAATTATGGGTTGAATTCTCTTATTATGACGATAATGAAATCTGTCTGGAATTTCTTCTTTGAAATATACTTTCATGCGATTGCTGCATTTTTTCAGCAAGTTATACACATCTCTCTTGTCTGCCAAGAAAAAAACTGCAAGTGAAACAGCTGGAAATTATGCCCTGTTTACTGCAATTATGTGTCATTAAACCTAAGATCCATTTTTTTCAAAACAATTATTTTTTAAAAGGCACACAGAAAGGATTTTTTCATGTCCCTAATGAAATGCTACATGTATCAAGGTGGATTTCACAATTTGCTCTCGTTTTAAATCAGGCACCTCACGGCTGTGATTTTGGACCTACAATTCAACTTACCCTCTGGGCTTGCAGGGGAGGAGGGCAAGATTCAAGCAGAGAAATCCAGAGAAAGCAATCACACACCAAAGTAGTCAATATTTTATCTAAAGCAGTAAGTATTAAATTTTGTTACTGTATAAATCACTTTGTTCATTAGAATTGCTTCAGTCTGGCCACAGTAGTGGAAACTGAGACCAGCAGTGTCATGATTTAAGACATGCCTGTTAGTAACTACTCCAAGATACAAAAATTGAATTCACAGTATGAAAACTGAAGTTTCATTCACAGAAACAGAAGTGGTAAAGCGATCAAAGTTGGGTTTAGATTTTTACTTGGAAGTTTAGACAATGACATTTTTTATTCTGAATAAACATGAGGGTTTATTTCATGCTCACTGTGAATTACAACCATATAGAGTAAGCGAGCAACAAGAAAGCAGGCATACTAAGTGCCTATCTACTTTCTCAACAAGCTGTACCAGGACCATCTTTACCACCCATAGCAATTTGACAAGAAACCTCCTTGGCCCATTGATTACCAAACCAAAGTAATTTCTAAATAAACAAACATTCTTCAGCTTGTTCATTAAATTATGTCAAAGTTCTGCAATATGAGCTACACTGGTTTTGCAAAAGATGTGAACAGTCTACCATAGTGTGTACCTTCTAGTAGCAAGATAAACCAGATTTAATTCTCAGTGTACGACTTAAAAAAAAAAAACCCAAAACATACTCTCCCTTGGCAACACTGCAGCAACTGGAGTCTTGTCTATCAGAGTATAGTTATTGCGACCAATGCAGCCATCCAGGACAATCAGCTTCTTTGCAGAACAGGAGGCCATTCCATGATCACTTGTTATTATGATATTAACAGTGTCCCACAAACCTAATGCCTTCAATTTATTAGTAAGGAAACCAATACGATTATCCACTTCTTCTAATACTTTGCGCATGTTCTCAGTGTCATCTGGTCCATACTTGTGCCCGCTTGCATCTGGTTCTTCCCAGTATAATGTAGCAAAACTGACTACTGGACTAGAGCTGTTCAGCCACGCAACAATTTTCTCCACTCTCTCCTCAAACGTTACTGAAAAGTTGTACTTCATAAAGAATTGAGGGGTTGTATTGCTAATTTTTACATCGGTACCGGGCCACATTGCAGCAGCACTTGCTCCTTTTCCCTGCTGTTGATTTGTTACCCAAATTGGAACTGCCTCATTCCACCAGAAGGGATCTGAATCATTGAACTGTGAAAACTTTTTTTTGGCATCTGCATCGTACATGTCATTAGCCACGATGCCATGGCTTTCTTCATATAAACCTGTCACTATGGTGTAATGGTTTGGGAAAGTCTTGGTGATAAAAGCATTCGTAACTTGTTTTACAAGCACACCATCCTCAATGAACTCCTGAAGATGAGGAAGTTTATAGGTTTCCAAGTAATCAGCCCTGAAGCCATCAAAGGACACGAGGAGTAACCTGGATATGGAATCACCAGTAGGGTGAGCAAAACAGGCAACTATTCCAGAAAAAAATAATGTTAACATCGAGTTCATCGTTGATACTTCAAAGTATTTCCAGCGGGTAATCAGATGCACCTGAAAAATGTAAAAGGATAAGGCGTGTAACACAAAATAGTTGTACTGGAACCAGTTTAACTAGCTATACATTATGTACATCTTCCTTATAGAGGTTAACTGCAACATAACCGGTCTAAACAACCACTGATGTCAACAGTGTATTTCCCTACTGACGTCAGAAGTTTCTCATATATTGTCATAGTTTTTCATATATTAAAGCAAATGAGCAGTGAGATTTTTTTTCATTCCAGACTAAATGAAAGGAAGAATTGTTTTCTCTCTTTTAAACAGTTATTCCATCATTCTGTGTGTCTTATTACAATTCTACATTCCAAGACAGACAATCAGTATTTTTTCTCATGTTCAAGCACAGGCACCTGAACAATTCTGGCTCCACATTTAAGAGTCCTGTGCAGCAATAAATGCTACTTACACATCACTGTTCAGGCCAGAATTTTGTTTTCTACTATAATTACAATTTTTCTTTTCAATCCCACCTTTCCTTTTTCACAATTTCCAGCCTCTCAAGTTGGTGGAAGACTTTTCAGCCTTTCAACATTCCTATTTACTTATTGCTTACCCTATACACGGAACTGCCAGCAGTAACTTCTTCTTCTGTTTTCGTTCTAAGCTGTTGTACATCTACCATAACAGTATTTAAACCTGTTCTTTATGTATCATATTTCTCTCCTCTAAAAAAAAAAAAAACCCAATCATTAGTAACCTTAGCTATGAGGCAAGTATTTCTCACCAAGGGATTCATGACTATTATGAATGCAAGGTATGATTTGTAAGCTCCCCCCCCCAAAAAAAAAACTTATTATGTGTGACAGGAGCACTTTGTTCAGGAAGGTCCAGAATTATTCTATAACCCTTCAAGAAAGAGGAAGTGAAGCTCCAGGCTTCACAAAAACTTCTGCAATATTGTTAGACAGCGTATTTATTTCTCAAGAAGAATTCACTCCAGCAAATTTGTCCTTTAACTCACTTGCACAAACTAGGGTGACTCTAGGAGGAACAGCAGGTATCTTCCTAACTGCAGTAATATCTTCTATCTCAACCCTTTCCCCAAAACTCTTTAAAACTGTGAGTGTATTATTTTAAAAGTGTAAGTAACTTCAGTGGTAGCTAAAGCTTTAGCAGTGAGAGGACTTCAAAGCATGGGAAATCATCTCCCCCTTGCAGCCAACAGTTAAATTTTCTTTAGAAGACACAAATGTTAGAAGAAAGGATCGTCAAAAACAGCATTGAGGTATCTCCTAATACAGAGAAGTTGTAACACACAGCCCCTTTAAAGAGGAGAAAGAAGAAAAGAAATGAGATGAGCAGTGGACCAGAGAATCACCCATTTCACGTTGTCAGGTGCTTTAAAAAGCAGAACCAGACTTTTTCATAGCACAGTAAGACATAAGACCACAATATTAGCTTCGAAACACTCCAAAGATGCTAAGCATTTGTGTTTTTACACACTGGGTCGCAGCTAACTACAAAACGCCACCAGCATTACAGCTATCTGCTCCTGAATCTCTCCACCTCCCAGCCAGATTTTCCAGTCTCTAGCTGCTCAGTTCAGTAAGAAACCAGTTACCCTAGCCTCGAAAGCTGACAGCAAGATGCCGCGTTGTCACTACACACCTATCCGATGTACAGCACCGGCTCCCGCAGCGCTGGGAAGAACCCAGCGCCGTGACCCGGCACTCGGGGCCGAGCACCGGCAGCGCGGACCCCCGCGACGAGGCA